CTGTAAACGTTCAGCGCTTCCGCTGATTGGTGGAGTGGCGCATGCGCGGCGCAACCAAAAGAACGAACAGACTGATGGGAACAGGAAGTCCAAAATGGCGATGGACGGAATGATGTCCACGTCCTCGGGTCTATCTTATCACAATGCCGGGGACTTTTACCCGAGAAAGTTCGGCCCGAAGCCGGACGTGGTGCCGTCCGGGGTGACGGAGAGGAAGGTGGGGCCGCTGGATAAACCGGACATGGTGTCGGTGGATGTCCTCAACATCAAGGATTCAGGTTTGTTATGCTAGCAGGCTAACGGCTAACAACACGTATTCAATCAGCTGCTCCGGAGTTTACCGAGTAGTTACCGGCTGAAACGACACTAGCACCGTGGCTTACGGCCGGTTTGAGTCAGTTAGACCTGTCGTCTTTTTTTGGTGAGGGATGTATCCGGATAATCAGTTCGTAGAAAGCAGTTTAACGTTTAAACGGCGTATTTGCACTCCTCCACCATTCCTGCTTCCTCCCTTTAATGGAAAAGGGTGAAGCAGGAGTCCTTCACCGGCTCCCGTGTTGCTGCTAAATAATCAGCCTAACGTGGCTCTTTTGGTCCTTCTCGGTGGATCCAGCAACAACCAGCACAGCTGTAAAAGCGACAGGCTCACACTCTAGGGTTAGGGCCACCTTTCTGTTGGAGTCAGCAGAACCTGATGGTAACTGCTCCATTTCATCTTATTGTTAAAGAAAGACTCACTAATATCTGCTCACTACACCTGTGAAGTGTGTGTGCAGGTATTTTATAGGAAACTAGTTCCTTTTAGATGGAGAAGCTGGAGGAGACAGTGGATGGAAGAATCTTTTTATGTCCTGCTGTCTCGTGGTTGATGTGAAATCAGCTGAAACATGCTCAGTGTGTTAATATCAGTTTGGACCTCTTGTGAATAATCAGATAAATCTTTAAAATTGTCAACCACTTGGATCAAAAACACCCTTTTGCTGAACAACGGAAGGGACCTGATCTGTGGAAAGCCCTGGTTAGATTGCTGTGGCTGACCTGACTGTCTGTTTGCTACAAGATGAAGGATCAGCACCTGCAGCAGGTGGAGAACTGGTTTATGTGCAGCTCTGATGAGTTAAAGGAGGCTGCAAAGCAGAAAAAAGTGCTCCAGCTTAAAATAGTTCTTCTGAGAACTAGTGATGGCATCGAGGACCACATCAGCTGTGACCCAGTCAATCAAAAGCTGGAAACCTGGAAAACCTGAGACGGGACAAACGTTTCTGTCCTATAAGGTTGCAATCACATGTTTGAGTCCTTCTGTAGTTGTGCTGTAACACACTGACTGGTTTTTGTCGTCCACAGACGTCCCGATGCACAGGAAGAAGCACGAGCACGACACCTACGTCCTGGTGAGTTTCCTCAGGTTTCACAGTCATAGTTTCTCTCTTATGTCTCCAATGGTCCACGTGGGCTCAAACACAGTCAAACTCTGGAACAAAGGATTTGTAGAAAGAAGCCAGGCAAAGCTTTAATTAAGGCTTTCATGTGTGATGCAAAACAGTCATTTGTCAGAAAAATGTAAATATAAAATATTTAAATGAACATACTCTTTGGGGTAAAGTTTCTGCAGTGTTGTTTTTCTGGGTTTCAGCTGTTTTTAAGCACACGCTTGGGTTTTACAGAGTTATTAGTCGTCATCTGACGACATCGAAAAGCTGAAAACTGTTAGACTTAATTTGGTGTCACCTCAAAGCATTTCTGTCTTCTTTAAAATCTGCAGTATTTTAGCTGAAACTCTGGTCTGATCGCTCTCAGTGCCTCTAATGTGAGTGCTGCTTTGGCCAGGCTGTGACACTTTTAATCATAAACTGTTTCCCTGCATGAATCTGTCAGCCCGTCTCTGCACATTTCCCTGGAAAATGTCTCCAAGCTTTGGAAAATGTGAAGGAGGGCGTCTGAACTTGTAGCAGGGATTTTAAATGTGTAATTAAACTTGTTTACACTGACAGAAGGCAAAGTGTCACTCGTCCAGCCCATGAAGATCAGAGGATCTGACCCAGGATGGAAAACTGAGCCGACTTCACTGCGATTTATTTTCCTTCAGTGTTACAAACTTAGAATAAAGTTGTTCTTCAGGTTATCAGGAAGCTGAAATAAATGTGCTACAACACGCGGCCACATGGTGGCGGTGTAGGTCAATGTTTGCCTGCTGCTCTGCTGGACCTGATCGTAGTTTAATTTCACTGACAGCCGGACCAAGGGCTTTTATTTTGCTTCTGATGGCTCTTCCTCGTGTGCTTTGAATTTTCAGGGGACTATTCACCCGTTCAGGAAGACGCACAGATCCATCTTTGGGAAGCTTCTGCAGGAGTTCAGGCTGGTGTCCTCAGACAGACGAGTAAGTGATGAAACATGTCGTGTCCTCTCCGGGCTTTGGTTGTTTGGCCTCCTCTCGTTTTCACTGAGCGGCGATCATCTGAAGGATCCTCACGTTATAATCCCGATAAGCTGGTTAGACGCTGTGTGTCATACACCGAGCCCAGCCCAAACACCTCCTGTAATCCTGTTTTCCTGAAAGGTCACCGTGTTCCAGCAGGGATGAAACCCTCAGAGGAAAACATCGTCATTCGTGAGCTGATTTCACGTTCTTTAGCTCGTTAAAGGTCCTCGGAGCGCCGGCAGAGCCTCCGTTCATCTGCTTCCTGCTCT